ATTAACATCTGTAAAATAAGAGGCCCCTGAAAGCTGCAAAATTTACCATCCGAGACATAGAGTGAGAAATGTTATAATCAGACAGACAGTGGTAACCACACAATGCTCAATTTTATTCAAAAACAGAAGATCAAATGGTTTGGTCAACTCGTTAGAATGGAGCAAGTACAACTACCAACATGGCTGCTACACATGAAACAATCTGATGCGAAAGCAAGAGGCCGCCCATGGAGAATATGAATTGATTTCATTAAAGAACTTCTACATCGATACAGAATGACAATTGCCGTTGCTACCCATCAAGCGATGGATCGCAAACTGTCCCTCCCCACGCCGCTAGACAGTAAAAGTAGAATTTGATGATGATGATCGACTGCGCAGTTGTAATAACATCTAATGTAGGTTTTTCTTTCTGTTCTGTTTGACGTACAAGTGTGTGGTTAATACATCAGCCTTCAGTTTGTCTAAAACTCCCAAATCTACACGCGTGCTTAATCAAATCTTTGCTTTATTCTAACATAGCCTTCTCAACAACTTACAAGATAGCATCTTTGCTGTATTTTTAATTACTTGCCTAGGTCCGTTTTCGTCATTATCGGTGATTTCATCTGAAAGTTCGTTTTCGAAATTAAATCATATTTGCATCACTGGGCGCTTAAGTTTTAAAAAGGGAATAACGTTATTGAAACGTTCTAGCCGTGTCAATATATTACCAATCCAGGATTGTTTAAAAAAAGGAAGAATTCAAGTTTACACGCAAGCATAAACTCAAGTAAGAATTTATTTTCAAACAATATTTTTCTATATTCAATCGAAATAATCTGAGTACAAACAATAGATTGCACAACATATCGCCGGGCATATTTCTGTTGGGTAAAGTAAATTATCTTTCAAATAAGGGTATTTGCAGCTCATTTGATGTCCCATACCTATTCTTTCTCCTCCTCCGCCTCATTGCCTTCTTTCTTCTTCTTCTTTTTCTTTCTCTTCTTTCTTCTTTACTTTTGCGGAATTGTCTTTAAGTTTCAAATAGTTTGAAGAACATTATATCTGTTCAGGGGAATTAATTATGGTAACAGAAACTCTGTACGGGAATCAATATTGGGAGAGAAATCATCATTGAGAGAGCATCTATCTGAGTTTTAACAGTCTCCTGTTTGAAGGATTGCCTGAGTTGAACGATATTGTCTCTGTTCTATAGTATCAGAAATATTTCAATCTTTCTGCCAAAAGCAATGCACCATCTATGTAGGTGTGCATCAACGCAACACATGATGTCCATTTAGTTATGTTTAGTCTCTGTTTGCAAAAGAAATGTCGCGACATATTTTTT